AAAAAAAAAAAAAAAAAAAAAAAAAAAAAAAAAAAAAAAAAAAAATCCTAAGGTCGATTCTTCGTCTAACCAATTTGATTGTATGAGAATACTAACGAGACAAGGGGGGAAAGTGACTCCATGGCCATGACAGATGCAAGGGCCATGTGGGATATGGAAGGCATTGAGGTTGACCTGATGAGTGAGTTGGTGGGGCAAAATATCAGAAGCACTTGGCCAAAAGTGGCAAAACAAGAAGTGACCATTAAACGAACAACTACCATGTCCTTGCCCAGTATCCATAATTACAGGATGATACCGTCCTGTGATAATGAGATTGCTTATTTTGAAATGGAAGAGAATTCTAAAAAGTAAATAACGAATTATACGCCCACTAGGTTGTCCCCCCCCACCCCCTTATGGAGTTGAAGAAAGATAAGGCTGATAAAACTCAGTGTTCATAGGAAATACTGCAAAATTCAGGGAGAAGGCAAGAACTCGAGCTCATCTTGATGTTCAAGGTGCCCTATAGAATGCAATTTAGAAGAAAAGTCATAGATATAACGTATAAATTTGTCAAAATTAAGTTATGAATATCCAAACACTCACATGTTATGAACCAAAAGAAAAACAGATATCTAAACCCAATTCATTTCAGCTTTCATCCCGGGAATCCAACAGTCCAGATAAGAAAATTCAGACATAAATAGCAAAATCTAAAACGAAATAGAAACCAATGAAGAACAAATTGGGCGAACTCACTTTGGGTGATGGGTGGCCAAGCTTTCCAGCGAACCCCATCTGAGCCTCAGGGTCAAGGTGGGTCCGACGGCCGGCGTGAGAGAAAGCGGTCGGAGTGGGTCGCAGAAACCTTTCAAAGATAGCCATGAGCAAGAACATTGAGACGAGAATGGCAGTGGCAACAAATCCAAAAGAGACTGCATCGACGGAGTTGTCGAAGTGCCTCCAGTGGTCCTCTCTCTGGACGTCAAGAGGAGCCCCAGTCGGGGACCATCCATAACCTTCTTCACCCATATTATGCCCAAAAGTTTCAGACGAATTTCCCCGTTCCGACATAGCTGGATTTGTAGCTCATGGCAGCTTAATTATGAAGGAGAAGAATTGGAGGGAAAAGTTTCAGGGTTTTTCGGTGTTATCAAAAACTTGAGCAGCTACCAAACTCGTAATATAGAGAGAGAGAACAGCGACAGAAGAGAGAGAGAGAGATTGAAGGTGTGGGCTACCATTACCATCACAACAAAATTCCACAATTTACCAGAAGGTGAAAAGGGGGCTTTGGAATTTGGATTAGAAATTCCATTAGAATCGTCGTTTTGGAAGTGGTTGTTTTAGCTAACCCCAGAAATTGCCGAAAGTTTCAGATTCCAATTGACTGCGCCAATTTACAGTATCGCCATTGCTAAAGCGAAGCTACTGAGTAGTAAAGTATGTATGTTTTTTCGTTCATACGGAGAAGATGATTGAAGCTTGAAAATGAGAAAAACCACAATAATTTAATAAATGAATGGTTCCTCCATAGATGAACACATTGGATCTAAATGGGCCAACATTTTGCCTTTTCTGGGCTCGTTGTTCCAACCCACCCGCCAGGGGTTGGACCGACTCCAAATTCCCATTTACCCCTTCGTTTCTAATCAAAATTACATAAACTGCCACTCCTCTCCACGAGGCCTACCAAATTAATTGATCCAAAAAAATAAAATAAAATTTAAAAAGAAAATACTAGATCCGACCCAGCTTGTTTGATGACCGAATCCATCTAACTGGACCCACATACCCACATGCGTCCGCGCATGTGCCCGGGCCGAAAGCCTCATTTTGTGAATCTACCCACTCACAATCTGCCACGTGGACGAGTGGTTATTAAATAAATAAAAAGAACGGTGGGGCCATAAAAGGACTGTATTGATGTCGGGCTTTCCCGACCGAAGCCGAATATGTGGAGCATCCAGTTCTTTCCTCGAGATTCTCGTGTAAAAAAAATCAACGTTTCAGATCCCACCGTGCAACAAACAACAAATCCTGACCATTGAAGCAGTCAAAAGACACACAGGTCAAACCCTAATCCCCCGCGTGCGTGTGAAGTGAAGCATCGCACGTGTGATTGCGTGTTGGAGTACAAAATAAAAAACATCAAAGCTTGCAATTTTAATTTTCCTCATTGGTCCCTCCCTGTCCTTGAGTGGCCATGCAAAATTAAGAGGGTGAGTGAGACAATAATGTCATTTCCAGTTAAAAATAATAATATATATTATTTAGCACATTCAAAATTAATATTCATGGAAAATTAAATGGATAATAATGATTGGGGAGTGTTTGGTAATGGATATAGCTATGGTTTGGTTGGCTTCTTTTCGCATTAATATTTGTTTGGGCGCAGGGAGAGTGAGTGACAGTGCGGCTGCTTTTGATGGCATGGGCCCACGTCAGGCCTAGCTGTTATGAATTTGGGCTCCCTACAGGAAGCAGCCCTATTCCTATGGGCTTACACCATTTCACTTTGAGTGTACGAAAAGGCTTCCATGGGCCCCATCCAATCCCCTTTGGCTGGCCCACCGTAGATATGGTCCTTATGTAGCTTTATGTATTATATTATTACGTACCAAGACAGGACCATTTTCCTTCTTAGTTTTTAATGTTTCTCCTTTTCTTTAGAATATTTGAAAAGGAGCGGTGGGAAATTGGAGTTGCCACTTTGTTTGGCTCAGTTTTATGATCTAAACATTATTATAAACTACACGTATAATGACTTTTTATTATAACCTATGATTTTTCGATAGGAATATAATTTAACAATAAAAAGGGGTAAAGTATTTTAAAGGTGGGTGTTATTTTTTTCCAAAACTAAAAAGAATAGTCCTACTGATTTTCTTTTCTGAAAGTAAAAATACTATATTTTGACTCAGCTATCAAGATACAATTTGTTACGATCTTGTTTAAACGATCTCATCTTAATCAATGATTGAACGGATACGTGAATGAAATGAGAATACGTATAAGGTGATGTAGAATTGGATGGAAAAAGGAGGGTAAAGAGTAAAGAAGATGGGATAATATTTAAAGGAAAGGTGTGAGGTTTGAGGGGACAAAGAGGAGGCAGCCCACGTGAAAGCACACAAAAACTGTCCAAATTTGTGTGTGCCGGTATGCTCTTTCGTTGGTTGGTTGCATCACAAAGTGACTACCAAATGGATATTAAGTAATAATGGAAAAGGGCCCTTTTTTTTGCTCTCTTTTTTATTTTTTAGTATAATTCTATGCATTTCAAATCATTTGTTTTTGGCTCTTATAAACTTTAATTCATTGCTATGTTAAATAATTTAGGGTGTGTTTCATAATCATTTTGTTAGTATGGTGAATTAGACTAATTTGTAAATTTTATTTTATTATTAAAAAAACAAACCATTGTCATTATTTTAAGATCCATCTAAAGGTATGTCATGATTATTATTTTTTTAAAGATATAGCATTGACTCATATGTTAAACAACCGAACATATGGTCCATTTGATGTCCTCTGTCCAGTACACATTAATGGGCCTTCAAATCGGGCCACTTCTTGTAGACAAGACATAAGACCCATGGCCCAATAAGTGTCAGATTTCACGTTGTCCTTCACTTTGGGGTTGCAATTTCAATAGTCCTCTCTTCAACCAACCATCGCACTAGACTTATCTATCCGTCTCTAGATATTGTTTAGTTTTAAAACGTGTTTATTAGGGAGAGATTTTTCATTTTTATAAGAAATATTTTGTTCCCCTCTCTAATCGATATGTTATCTCACAATCTACCCTCCTTGGAGGTCCAACATCTCCGTTGACACTCCACTTGGTGCTTGGTTTTGATATCATTTGTAACAATCCAAACTCACCGCTAGTAAATATTGTTCACTTTGACATGTTACGTATAATCGTCAGTCTCACGATTTTAAAACTCGTCTATTAGGAAGAGGTTTCCATAGGTACTATTTTAGTTGGAGAGGAGAACGAAACATTTCTTATAAATGTGTAGAAACTTTTCTCTAATAGACCTGTTTTAAATCTGTGAGATTGATGACAATACGCCGCGAGTCAAAGCGAACAATATATGCTAATTGTTGGCTTGGGCAGCTACATGTTCGAATCAATTCTTCTCTAAAACATGATTAGTCTAACAAAGCTTAAATATGAATCTCTAGATATCATCTCTTTACATGATAGACAAGTGAATATTCACGTATTTCTATAATAATAGGATAATTTCAATAATTTGATACAAACTCAGATGTGGTAGACTTAAAATCTAACCCCTTCCTCGTATTCAATTCAATTCAATGTGAGCTACCACTCCCACTTTGGGATGCCAAAAAGGGGATTAAGATAAGGGAATATTGCCACCCACTATTAATACCTTATATCAACTATCTTCCATCTCCCTAATAAATGCACACATGCTAACCAAATTATAACATAAAAGAAGAGGCAACATTTCAACTTTTAATCTTCATCTATGGGTATTTTTTTTTTTATATATAATTCAGCAGTAAAAAAAAAAAAAAAAAAAAAAAAAAAAAAAAAAAAAAAAAAAAAAAAAAAAAAAAAAAAAAAAAAAAAAAAAAAAAA